TTTAAAAATTGGACTTAAAAGGGAAAAGAAAGTTAAATATTATGAATATGTTTGATTTATTGATTAACCCAGGCAGTATATATAATGGTTTTGATTTATTAAAGGGGATATTGTGTTATTAAGTAGATGATTAAATAAGATGGGAAATAGATAACTCTTAGGAAATAGAACAAGATTATATTCAAATAGATAAAATATGTATTTTGGATATTATAGTTTGTTATGAAGTGAGATAAGGGAAATTTTGGTTACCCAAAGTCTGGAAATTACAAATATTAAAGGTTAAATTGGAATATTGATAAGAAATTAAAAATTGAGTAAACTTAATAACAGGATATGGATTGTTTATGAAGATTGAAGGTAATTAAGATATGTATAAGCTAAAAATCTATTGATAAATGTAATAATGATGTTCTTATTAAGTTGATATAATTAGAAATGTACTAACCTGAATATGAGACAGTAAATGTTAAGGGAAAAAGAGAAGAAATATTCGATATTGTAATCTGAGATTTGCACTAAGATTTTGTTATTGAGCTATTGTAACCCAGTCACCATGTTGCTTTTTAAATATTCAAATGTAAAATTGGAAAACTAATAAAATATTTTAAAAAGAGGTGGATGAAGACATCCTTAGATAGAAATACAGCAGGAATGGAAAGTGACTGATAGAATATTTGTAATTCAGGGTTGAACTGTCAGGTCCTTGATTCTCTCTGAGCTTAGTGGGGTTTTTTTGCAGACATTTCATTACTAAACTAGGTAACATCATCAGTGCTAGAAGGGAGTGGGGTTTGCTCTTATTTTATAATATTAGTGGCTTGCCCTGTCAGTATTAGTGGGGAGTGTTCTTGGTGATTTCTTGATTAGGCTGTTTACTATTAGCTTGTTTGTCTATGTCAGTAGTTCCTTGATTGGGTTATCATTTACTTCTTGATTGTTGGTCTAATATTAATCTTGGTGTTAATCTCTCAAAGTATCTCTGCAGAAAAATTAATTTCTGTGGTCAGGTTTCAAGATTCTACCAACTACCCTATCAACAATATAGATTTTTCCAGAAATCCCAGTGCTTCATGTTTCCTGAGCTTGCCAGTTTTATAGAGCTTAATATAAAGCCCATTCACATACACATAAAATACATGTGGCAGTCAAGCATCACATAATAATCATCAACGAATCCAAGAAATGGGCTCTGTCACACAGATTATTGCATGACCATGGCCATCTCCAGGTTTATTTGCAAGGACTTCTCATAAGGAAAGTAACCTGGATTTGGAAAGTATAATAATTTAACTACTGAAGATAATAAAATCTGAATATTCTATATGGCAATCATAGCTCTGCAGTATGGCAATGATCATGAAGTAATTTGGAAAACATCTGAAAACTAAAAGAACAAGAAAAGTATGCATTTCATGAGTTGGGTGGCCCTTCCCTTCTGCACTGCACCAGAATTCCACAGCAACATCTAAGGATCTTTCACAGCTGGGCATTGCAGGGAAATATCATAAGCTGCCTATAACAAATAGCAGTAGCACTTAGATTTATATGGTGCTTCATAGTGCTTTACAGTCCTTTCTAAGCGGTTTACAGAGTCAGCATATTCCCCCAAAATGAAAGGAATATGGATGGTGGTATACAGTATCACATGCCAGATTCTAGGGACTGGCTCAGGACCTCATTATTGGCTTTGTTTCCATTGCAGAACCAACTATTTCCACTATGCCTGCTGTCTGTCAAGATACTGAAAGCCAGTATTCTCCCCTCTTATATGCCAAGTAAGTTCCTGGCATGTTATGGTTGAAAAATAGAGTTGAGTTACTTGTGTTGATCTCACAGAAACAGAAATTTAGAAAAGCTGAGCTCAGAATTTTAGAGATTGTTTTGTGACTTAGAGCAAAATAAAATATAATAAACTTGATTGTTTACAGCTTATATGGGATATCAATCTTTTTTTTTCCAACAGCATCTCTTGCTTTTGTTTCAGATTTTTCCACTGATTCTCTGCCACTAGTCCCTAGGTTTCATTTTCCTGTTAATGCACCACTCTGTCTCCAACCCAAAAGCATGGTTTTCAATAAATTTCCTGCAGTGAATCTTCAAATAGTCTTTTCTGGAACCCAGATCAGGACATGCTTTCTTATTACACTTTTTTCTATGAAGAGGATCCATCTTCTACCCAGTTTGCACTGCTCCTATATCTCGTTTGATGTTTTATCTCATTAAGTTGAATCTCATTTCCACTACATAAAATTGTTTCTAAAAATTCTACATTTTAATAAGAGTTTCTCAGAATCTGAGGACTTCTGGTTTTGTGCCCGTAGCACATGGCCATGCGAGAGTGGACCTCCGCTCCCCACGGCTAGTTTCGTCCTGCCAGGAGAACCCAAGATGGGTCTGAAGTTGCCTCAAAGAGGTGATGCTGAAGGAGGGGTGCCCCGTTGATCACGAAGCGACAGCAATCGCTTCGTTTGATCTGGGGGAAGCCCTCCGAACCTGACAGGAGAAAGGTTAGCCGCATGTCAGTGTCTAAGCCACACATGTCAAACACAAGGGCCCGGGGGCCAGATGCGGCCCGCGAAGTGGTTTCATGTGGCCTGCAAAGCCATCCTGGAAACAGTGAGGGAACGGCCCCCACTGCCTTGGCCCTGGCCACACCCACCCGGCCCCCCGAGGTCAACCACAATGCTGATGCGGCCCTCAATGAAATTGAGTTTGACATCCCTGTAGCCATTATATTTCTTTTGTTTCTTAAGCTGTGCTGAATATTTGAAAAAACAATTACCAAGTTCTTCTTTTTCCTGCTGTAGTTTTTGGATCTCGTTGCTACGTGACTTTGCATCTGCCAACAGCATCGCAGGAGATATTCAGAACCCAGACTGTCAGGGATTCTTATTACCCAGTCTGGAATGAAACATTTTATTTTAGGATCCAAACCAAAATCAAGGTAGTGTAATGTAATTGCAAATAGTATGTATTATTTGAGCTTACAGGATAAACAAATCCATAAAATGTTATTGCAAAATGGACTTTTCCAAATGAAACTGTAAAGTTTACTCCCTGATTTGATACTTGAAAAGGAAAACATACTACTGAAATTTTTGGCTTCTATCATTTGGAGATGCTTGCATGCCTGAAAGTACTTATCAGAAGTTTTGTGTGTAGGCATAGAGATCAGATAGTTAATGCCTTTTATTCAGAGATTACCATTAATCCCTTGCCAAGATTGGAAACAAATACCCTGAGGTTGCCAGTAGTGAAACATATTCCATTACACATATTTAATGTGAGGGTTTTAAAATGCCAGTGACATCTGTTATAAAAAAAAAGAGTGCTAATAATTTCTGGGAACTTAGTAGACAGGGGTTTTTTGGGGGGGAGGTTTCCTAATATAATATCCCAGAAAATACATTTTGATTAAGTTTTCAGGTGAATTTTCCATCTTTCCTGGAAATGGGGCTGTATATATTTATTTAACCACACTGGCATTGGAAGAATTATTTAGATGAAACAGCACCTAGGACTTTTTTCATCATCTTAATGTCAGCTCTATGCTTTGATCTTGGAGATTCTGACCCAAACTGGGATAGGGTTGTAGAGGGCTGGATATCATTGCTAATTTGGCACTAGCAGAATGATGAAGGACATGACTAAATAGATGACTTAAAGAAGAGTGGAGAGAGATTCCAGTCTAAGTCAAGACAAAACCTTCAGTATCTACAATACATCAAGATGTCATGAGCTCTAGGCAAAGGTCAGAATTTCCAGAATTTCCCTAAGTCTATAGCTAGACTTGATTGTTTCTAATTGCGGAAACTGAACTGCTTGGGAGTAATAAGACAAGCTATTATTTGCAAGTGGAATATGATGTCTAATGTGATCTGTCAAAGAACTTATAGGCCTTTCTTTCTTGGCTGTTTTGGTTCTTGACACAAAAGCATTTGTATTGTCACAAGGTAGAGAACATGATTTGGAATTGAAATGAGAATTCAGAGGCAGTGGAAGATGCCCTTAGTACTATCTCCTGAGATCGCCAAATGATCATAATTATTGATTTGGCTTCTGTTCTTCCTTCTCTTTGTTCTTCATCTGAAAGGACCATAATTTTGAGCAATAAGTTGAGACACCATAAACTGGAACAATATTATGAAGATAGGATCTTGTATTTTTCCAAAGACTTGAGGTAAAAATAGCAGCCTTTTTTAAAAATTAAAGTTTCCAAGTAGGAACAAAAGGTAATTATCACTCATCTGAAGTTAGAGATTTGCCATAACAGATGGTATCAAAAACTGCTGAGAGAAATAAGAATCCCTCAAAAACAGACCTCCATCATAAAATAGAAATAGACACAAAGAAGATATTATGAAAAACATTACCTTTCTACAGATTTTAAAGAGTTAGAATTGTTGGCTGCTGAAGTTTCAAATACAACTTGGATTTATCCATTTATGTATATGGTAGTGGAGAATATATAGTACCTTCTCTCAACAGTTTCCACATTGATTATCCAAAATAAGATTCAGATTGTGGGGAGTATAAATGAAATAAATAGATCCTATACATCTATATAAATAAAAATGTAAATGTTCGTTTGTTCAAAATCTTAAATCTCCAAAAGTTCTTCACCGATTGCTTTGAAATTTTGACACAACGTTGCATTCGAATACGTGTGTGTTTTTATATACCTATATTATATAAATGTCACACCTGTGACAGGTAAAACATGCTTTTTTGAAAAACAGCGCCATCTGTTGGACGTAAAAGCAACACATGCTTTTACCAGACTGAGCCACAGCAACGTGTGGCCAGCTACAGCTAGTAAGTAAATAAATTAGCAGCTATATAGAGTTAATAAGATTGACTAATTAGATTTCTTACTCTGACTATAAGTCAATAACCAAAATTCCATCAATTTGGAAGAAAATATTACAGCAGAAATATCTACATTGTCATCAGTAAAAAGGTGCCTGCAATTGCCATTTCTTCTCTTCTGTCCCCAGAATATCATACAGTTGAATGTTTGTGATGCTGATCCAGTCACCAATGATGACATCGAATTTATTGTTCTTTTTGATTTGTCAAAAGTCCAGCCTGGAAATCCAGTCTTTGAGAAATTCTCCTTAAAACCAAAGGTGAGGGCCAAAAAGTTATTTTGAAGATAATGTAGGGTACAATTATTCTTTATCCCTAATAGATGTTCTTTTCCCAAGTTTATTAAATGATACATTTCATGGGTTTTGTGGAAGGAAAGCACAGATAGAGTGAAATTTAAGGAAAAGTTTTATAAGCCTAGACATAAGTATAAAGTGTTTATTTTGAAATGTGGAAGTTTATTTCTGTGGAAGTACAATTTCTATCCATTTGCTTCACCAAAAATCAAAACCAAAGGAGGCTCAGGCAACCGTTCCTATTAAAATAGCAGGTGGCCAAGAAAAGAAGTGTCCTTATAAAGGGGATTAGGCTTTCAATCACATGTCATCTAAACAAAATTTGAAGCAATCTCAACTTCCTTTCCTTTCCTTTCCTTTCCTTTCCTTTCCTTTCCTTTCCTTTCCTTTCCTTTCCTTTCCTTTCCTTTCCTTTCCTGTGGACTGCATATGTTAATGTTGTCTTCATTACTGTACATTTTATAAATGTTTTTCTATTACCAGAAACAAGAACAATCTTATCATTATGAATTTCTAGAAGTGGAATTCAAGCTCTCAGATGTGTAAGTGATTTGAAAGCTGATATAAAACATTAAGTCATTGTTCATAGTTTGGTTCTTGGAAAATTCCTTCTTTGAATTATTCAGCAGATAATAAAGCTTGTTTTTTGGGTATTTGAGTATCCTATCCTATCCTACCTTAACCTGTCCTACCTATTTTGTTTAGTAAGCCATACAATTCTGCAATGATCTGTTACAGAATTCAATATAAATATATTCTGATACATTGCCTGAATTTATGTAACATAACAGACTGAAGCAGATCTCTGTTCATATAGCATACTGTATTCCAGGGGTGTCAAACTCGCAATATCACGTGATGTGTCGCGATGTATTGCAACTTTTTCTCCATTGCTGGCAATGGGGTGGACGCAGTTTTGGCATGATGCATCCGGCCGTGTCCCGGCAGTTTGACACCCCTGCTGTATTCAAATAAATGAAACATAATATGATGTAACTTTGTTCTGAATTATACAATATGCTAAACCATGTTGGAGTTCCTGCAGATATTGAACCACTATTTTTTCATCCCTATTTAGCTCATATCATGTGAAAACAACCATTTGGATGTTCCACTAGTTCTTCTATATGCTGTCCATAATTAGAACAGAATCACCCTTCCAACTCGATCTCAGGATGAGTTCCCTGTCCCAAACAAATTCTCAAAAAGATGTCCAGTTCTAGAGCACTTTTGTGGTTGTTGAGTCTGTTTCCTTAACAATGGAAATAGCCCGTTTCTGTACTGCATTGTCAGAACCTGGATCCTGGCATGCTAATTTGATTTGAACAAGGATCATTAGCCACTAATTCTGCATTATTCTGAATTTAAGGAACTATATTTCTTATTTTTATTTATAGATTGCATAAGTTAGAAGTTATATAAAACAGGGGAAAAAGGTCTGTTTCTGGTCTATTTGGTGAGCAAAAGACTTTTTCTTCTTCTTTTGCTTCTGTAATAATTATAATCAATAGGATCTTTTCACGATGACAATCATTTTGTAATGGCTCCATCTCTATTCAAGGAGGTTCTCCAGGCTAAGCATGAGCCCTAACTCAGATATTTTATTTTTGTAGGTGGAAGAGAAAGGAGCTTGCTTTATTTATTAAATGTATAATCAGCCTTTTTGCTTCTATAAGCACCGATGGTGAATTTACAACAAGAAAGAAAAATACAAAGGTGTTTAATTGACAAATTATCTTATCCTTTAATTCAGTGCTGTACTGAAGTACTGCTGGTATTGTTTTATTTTTGGATTATTATTTCTATGGTTGGTTGAGTGGTGCAATAGCCTAGAGATAAAGTCCAAAATCTGGAGATTGAGAGTTCAATTCTAGGCAGCGATAGATGTTTCTCTATCAGAGTGCAAAGAGTAAATATCTGCTCTGAACTCTGGATAGGCATCAGGAAGGGCATCCGACCAATAAATGCTCAGCTCCATTCAGTTACCTTTCAGTTCTTCCCAAGGACCTGGGATAGGCAGATGTTGCTTGAGATATTGTCACAGCTTTCCAAGCAGAACCATTTTAAATTGACTGAGGGTGACTTTGTCAAAGTAAATGGTGTTCAAGTGATGTTCCAGTTGTTATGTTGTTGTTATTATTATTATTATCATCATCGTCATCATCACCACCACCACCACAGTGGTTAGAATGCAGTACTGCAGGCTAACTCACTGCTCACTCCAGGAGTTCGATTCTGACTGGCTCTGATAGTCTTCCATCCTTCCAAGGTCGGTAAAATGAGGACCCAGATTGTTGGGGGCAATATGCTGACTCTGTAAACTGCTTAGAGAGGGCTGTAAAGCACTGTGAAGTGGTATATAAGTCTAAGTGCTATTGCTATTGCTCAGTGGTCGGATTCAAATATGTGAACAACCGGTTCTCTATGTGGATGCCACTTCCGGAAGTCCATTCTGGGCCTGGGAAACAAAAAATTAGCTACCGGTTCTGCCGTACTGGTGCAAACTGGCTCAATCCCACCACTGCTATTGCTATTATATTTTGGGTTTGGTTTTTCCACACTCCATTATGTTTTATTGGTGTCCCTTTAAATTCAGTTCATGGACAAACTGATAAAGATGTACTGAGTAAAGAATTTTACTCTGTGTCACAATGCACAAACATCTTAATGATTTATCTGTCTGTAGGAGTGTCTTCAGCTGTTTGTATTCCCTTTCTTGATCTTGTCAGTCATCCACAAAGACTTATTTCTAAAACAGCAAAGACTAACAACATTGGTCTTATTTGTTTTGTTTTTTTGTGTATGTTTATTTTTCTTTTTTTCCTCTGCTTTTTAGGCCAGGCCCTTCTGAGCAACTCATTTCCAATGGTGTCCTAGTGGTAAGTTTATCTGGAATCTTGTGTAAACCAGCCTTCTATAACTTGGTACTCCTTAAAGGTGTTGGGTCCGTGTTAACCACATGGGCTGGAAAATCTGCAAGAGGCAGGTTGGGAAAAATGGGTATATGCCATCATTTTTCTCCATAGGAAGCACTGCATTGTAGGATATGATGTAACGCAAGGAAAGAAATAGATCAGAAGTTCTATACACAATGTTGCATCTTTGGTTTTCATAGGCCCGTGAACTTTCCATTTTGGATGTAAAAGTGAACAAGGAGGATAATGAGAAGGTTTTGAAAGGTATGTCCCTTGTTCGTTTGTGTACATGTGTGGGTAACTTTTAGTCAGTGTTGACTCCTGCTGTTTTTCCTGCAGTTTTCAAGTGGTCTGTCATTGCCTGTGTCCCAGGGCTGAGAAAGAGGAACTGGCCCAAGGTCACCCAGCTGGCTTGTGACTAAGGTGGGATTAGAACTCATGGCCCCTGGTATCTAGCAGGGACCTTAAACACTACACCAGACTGGCACTGTCTTTAGGGACTTTTTGTCTTACATAACCAGCTGGTGTTTTACCAGACTCCTTTTAACTGCAGAGGGATTATTAGTTGCAGTCCTGGACTGATTAATCAGGTAATTTAATATGTAAAATACTCTTTTAATTTATTAAAAAGACAAACCTGATAGGCCCGTGGTGGCAAACCTATGGCATGCATGCCAGAGGTGGCATGCAGAGCCCTCTCTGTGGGCACGTGCGCCATTGTCACAGACAGAGGGACCCAGGGCTGGGCTGCTCCCCTCCCTCTCTCCATGCATGGGGAGTCCAGGAATAGCTGAGAGAGCTGGGCAGGGTGAGGGAAACCTATAAAAGGAGCAGGTTTTGGTGGGAGAATGAGTGACCAGCATTTGGTGCAGACAGCGAGCAATAGAGTGAGCAAGCACGAGTAACCAGTGGTGAGTTTCAGTGGCTGCTGCTCCAAGCCCCTCGACCGGCCAGCCACACAGGGGAGAAGGAGGATAAGGGGCGGCCAGGTGTCTGGAGCTGCCTTGGTTGCTTTCTGGGGTAGGCCCCAATGAGGCACACCAGCTGCCCAGCCTTGTGGAACAGCAGTGCCTGGGCAACGCGCGGGGCTGAGCAGGAGGCGGCGGTGGTGAACGTTGTATTGCCAGGCCTGGCCGGCAGCAGATCTGGAAGTGAAGCTGTGCTACCCATGGTCATGTTGTGGCACATGCCCACCCCTCCCCGCTGCCACCCATCATCCCGCATGCTCGTCCTGGAGGTGCACGCGGGATGATGTGGGGTGGCAGCAGCAAAGGGTGGGTGCATGCCAGATCCCGCCTTCCCCCACCGCTGCCCCTACCAGTGCAAGGATGGGTGTCACAGCTTCACTTCCAGATCTGCTACCTGACACCAGCGAGCGCATGGGGGCAACAGTATCCATCAGCAGCCACAGTCTGCTGGCTGTCCTGCATCATGGCGAACTGGCCATGGAGCCCCATTGGTGCGGGAGGAGACAGCTCCGGGATGGCCAGAAGGAATCCTTTCCCTGACCTGGGCCCCATCCACTCGATAGCTCTGACGGGGGCAGGTGCTGCTGCTCTAACCAGCCAACCATGCAGGGAAGCAGAAGGAGGTGGAGGGGCAGACGGGGGTCTGGGCAGCCAGTGCGTGAGATCCGCTGCCTCATTAGGCTGCCAGCGAGCAGCTGAGGTGGCTCCAAACCCCTCCATGTCCTCCTGATTCCCTGCATGGTTGGCTGGTTAGAGCAGCAGCAGCCTCCCCCATCAGAGCTGTCGAGCGGATGGGACCCAGGCCGGGCAGGGGCTTCCTTCTGGCTGTCCCGGGGCCATCTCCACCTGTGCTGATGGGACTCCATGGCCAGTTTGCCATGATGCAGGACAGCTAGCAGGCTGTGGCTGTTGAGGACACTGTCAGCCCCATGTGCTCACTGGCCTCTGTGTGCAGGGGCTGATGGTGTCAGGCAGCAGTGGCCCCAGCCACTGCCTCACCTTGCCTTGCCCCGCGGCAACTGGCCACCCCGCCCTGCTTCGCCTCACCTCACAGGACGAGCCTCCGGTCCACTGCCCTAACCTGCCAGAGACCCCCCTGGATTTCCCCCAACCCTGCCCGGCCCCCACAGGCATCTCTCCCCACAAGCATCATCGAGGTGGCCATGTCCATCCCAGCCACGCCCACCTAGTCGGCTGTGACCACCACAGCCACGCCCACCCAATTGGCCACACCCACCTGGCACCTGGCAATAAATGAGTTTTGGGTTGCAGTTTGGGCACTCGATGTCTAAAAGGTTCGCCATCACTGGCAGTGGAGAATATTTAAAGAGTATGATTTTAAAGTAATTACTGCACATGGTAAATATTTACTATGATACATGTATTAAAATATTTTTCAAAAATGTGCTGACTTTTTTGTTGCTCAGCTTTGAGTAAATTAATAATAATAGTAAAGTTGGAAGGGACCTTGGAGGTCATCTAGTCCAACCCCTTGCTCAGGCAAAAAACCCTATACCATTTCGGACAAATGGCTATCCAGTTTCTTCTTAAAAACTTCCAGTGTTGGTGCATTCACTGCTTCTGGAGGCAGGTTGTTCCATTGGTTAATTGTTCTAACTGCCAGGAAATTTCTCCTTAGTTCTAGGTTGCTTCTCTCTTTGGTTAGTTTCCACCCGTTGCTTCTTGTCCTGCCTTCAGGCACCTTGGAAAATAGCTTGACTCCCACTTTGTGGCAGAGCTTGCTCACCACTCTTTTTTGACATCTGTGTGAAACTGCTGGGTGAGGTCATTCAATGGCACAGGATGTGGTATTATCAGTATGCAGATGATTTTAGCTGAAATCTAATAAGGCTATTCTCTTTTAACATTGTGTATTTTGTGGGACTTGATTCTTGGTATGCAATAATATTTAGAGTACACTGTTTTTGATATAATGTGCAATGGTAGTTCATGATCCCTATCAATATGCAGATCTATCACATCTGAAGCATCTGAATGTTAAAGTGGAAGTAGTGTGAAATCTGAAGAAAATCCTTAATTTTATATTCAAATTATAAAATGTGAATGGCAATTGGCAAAATGTGAATTTGAGGTGGAGTTCAATTTTTTTAATGTGTTGTATTTTCTTTGTATCAGATTTATGAAAACAAAAAAAAGCCCAGTTTAATGTATCAGCTGATATTAGATTCTTCAGGCTATATTCACTTATGTATACTTGGTTATAAATTATCTAAATTTTAGCAAGACTTTTGACCTAATCTAACAATTCTTTCATATTCACAAGCTGTAAGCAGAATATCCTTTTATATATTCATAGTATTAAATATTGTATGTATGAAAGAGACATGGGGTTCTATGTCTACTGTATGTCTGATCCATTTGACAAAGGATGCAGTTCAATAATTTATTTATCAATACAAAATAACAAGTGTCCATGCTAAAATAAAGTGTTCAACAACACATTTTTGGAAGCATAAATATATAATGTCTAATTTATCATGTATTGTTTTATTTTAGCCAATAAAAATGTGGTCTTTTCAGTCCAACAATCTTATGAAGGAACACAGAAGACAAGCACAAATTTAGATTCCTTCCGCTTTCATTGCATAAAAAGCTTTGGACCAGTACTAAAAGTTAAAACTCAGGTAATTGTCTCAGTTATCATGTACCCACAGCAGCACAGGAAAATAAGTATGAATGTATTCCTTTTCCATGGATGCCCAATTATTCATTGGGTTATAGTGTAGCAATAAATAAATAGCCATCAGTACCATCCTGCTGAGGTTTCAAAGGGTCTTGAAGATTTGGGTCTTCACCCAGGTCTTTGACAAGTGGCCACTTTTAGATTGTGTGGGTTGGTTCCCCCCCCCCAATCTGGTCTTGTTATTCTTGCCATCTTCACTCTTTGTTTTTGTGGTTTGCTATTTTCTTGTTTTCACTTTTTAAAATAATTTGAAAATGGTAGCCAAAATATGATGAGACAGTCTGTTTCCATATAGCTGTTGAATACGTACATTTCTTTATCCAAGACTTGTGCTAGATGGCAAAAAGGTTTCCGCTGAGCCAGCAAGAATTACTGTAAATTTAATGAAGGTTCAGAAAAGTTAAAGGAAAATAGAAGAAAAGAGTCCAAACAATTCTTGAGGTTCAAGAATTTTCAGATTCAGTTAGGTTTTTTTTTTTGATGTAAAACTTTAACCTGCCTGGAATTTTCCTGAATGAAAAGTTCATTCAGTGACTGAAAAGCCTGCTAATCGTCATTATCATGATCACCATTAAACAATAAGTAATCTTCATTTTTAGTATACATCTGTTTCATTTGTCTCATCTTTTTTTTTCTTCCCAGAACATTTTAGCTAACGAGGACAGTGATTCCGATTATTCTTTAATTCTGCCTTTGAAACTGCTTCCAGTTGGCTATCAAGTCAAAGTTGAATTACCAATGGGGAAGGCAAGTTTTGATTCTTAAAATGAATGATCACATTTCCTGATATTGTTAATTTTTTTTAAAAAAAAAACAGCAACACAAAAGGTTGCTATTCAATGTAACTGACTGCTGGTCAGAAATCATACATAAACTACTTCATAAACTACGTAATGTAGTTCATACATAATATTATATGTATATAATCATACATAATATCCACACATAATATTCATAATATTCATACATAATGTGTAGTTCATCCATACATACATTATGTAGTTCATACATAAACTGCACAATCACTGCTTTCAAAGAGCTAATGGAAATCTCTTATTGTGAAGTAGGGAGCAACATACTAGAAGCTCTATTCTGTCTTCAAAATACGAATTACTGAAATTTCAAGAATAAGTCTAATATAGCACTTTCTGAGTTTCTTTATTGATTGATAAAATGAATTTAAGTGCTCTTATGCCTCCTCAGTTGAACAAATCTAAAGAGTTCATTTGGTTATTGTTTTTTCATATGCCCAATTTATTTGTCCCTCTATCCCTTTTTGGTCCAGATTCACTGTCTTCACTAAGGCTTGTTTTTTGCTTTTTAGGGTAGTACCTTTGACCTGTATCTCCAGGTAATGGACTGGTAAGGTATTTTCTTTTTTTGGCATAGTTAATACACTGAGTGAATGCAAAGGAAAGACAGTTTATCCTCAGCATAAATGACATGTGCACCATTTGAGGCTTGCATGCAGCTCCCTAGTATCTCGTTCGTACTTCTTCAGAAATTCAGTAGCAAAACTACCTTAATTCACTGCTTTGATTTCACCCTGCTTTGGTAGTCTGAAAAGTGGGAAGGAGAACAGTTTCCCTCTGTGTCTCATCTTTGCCCTTAAACTTTTCACAGAGAGTTTCCCCAAAGCCTTAAACAGTTTTCCCAAACCTGAAAAGGAAAAGGAAAAAATCAGCCACAGACCTTCCTGTAGTTAAGAAGCTGAGATGTAGCTTCTGACCATTCAACTATTCTCCACTTCAATACTCTTTGAATGAGAACTTGGTTTTTCTAATTGTAGTCTAATCTGCTGTAGGCTTCAGATATAACTTCATATCAACATAAAAAGCCAGTCGGGTACCCATGAATTAATTTTTGTGGTATTGCTGGGCATGCTCCAATGTTCTAAGGCTGGACTTCCTCCCGAGGTGCTCCCTTTGCATAGAACAGCGGTTCTCAACCTATGGGTCGTGACCCCATTTGGGGTCAATCGACCATTTCACGGGGGTCGCCACGCAAGGCTGTCCGCCATTTTTTTCCCCTTTTCCGGTGGGTACCTTACCTCCCTTGAGCTGGGCCAGCTGGTGGTCGGCCTGCTCCGTCTCTGCCGCTTGCCAGCTACGCCTCGGCCGGCGCAGGGGGTGGAACCACGCATGTGCGGCGCTCCCGGGCAGGGAAAGTCATCGACTTACGACCGGTTGGGTAGTCCTCGACTTATGACCGGTTTAGTCCTCGACTTACGACTGGTTTAGTCCTCGACTTACGACTGGTTTAGTCCTCGACTTACGACCGGTTGGGGGTCACAGCATTAAAAAGGTTGAGAACCACTGGCATAGAACAAGTCCATCGAAGGAGGAGGAAATCAAGGCTTAGTGCAATGAAGAGCATCCAGCAATCCTCAACTGATTGGCATGGGGCTGATTTTGATTCCCATACAGACCTGAAACCATATCTGGTAAATGCCTGTAAGTTGTGAATTGATATCAGCTAACGGCATTATTGTTTAAATGATCTGACATCTAGTCTATGCTTAGCAGTGATGTGGCTATTTCTGTGTCCCAGGTCACAGAATCTTGATGTGCGTTTGGGCTATGAGCTTTGTCCTGATGAGCAGGATTATCTGCGTGAAAGGAAAAAGGTTGTTGCAGATGCCCTATATAAGCTTTTTAATCTAGGAGAGGAGTTACAAGAGGATGAGGTATGTGGACATCTTGTAATTATTTGCATGTTAATTAATTACCATCGTGTTATTGCCAAACATAATTGTGCTTGCACAGCACGTTAGATTGAAAATGTAAGTTCAGGAGCTGCCATGTGTATGATTCTAACCGAGATTGAGGTATGCTATGTTGTCTGGGCACAAAATGGAAGCCATACTGGATTTCTAGAAATCAGCCTTGTTACTTAAATTCATGGAAAGTTCTGGATATCCATTTTGGATCTGGACAGATCTAAACCTCTGTTTGTATATAGTTTGATCCTACATATAAGTTGACTATAAAGAGAGCCAGTCTGGTCTAGTGGTTAAGGCACTAGATTAGGAACTCAGAAAGTGTAAGTTCTAGGTCTGCACTAGTTATGAAGCCAGCTGGATGAATTTAGGCCTTAGGAAAGAAGTGATTGCAAACCACTTCTGAAAAATCTTGTCCAGAAAATTGCAGAGGTTTGTCCAGCTCCTTACTTAGGAGCCAAAATTTTATAAACTTTTTAAATGCATATCTAAATCTTCAGCTCTCTTTATTACTTAGCCTAGATCCAGTCAAAATGAACAAAAATACCTAATGACATAAATATATATCCCTCTTGTCCATTTAGTCTATGTTCCACTCATGCCTTTCTTAACAATTAAACATTATAAAAAATTAATTAAACATTATCAAAAATAATTTCCCCTTATGTAGATGTCAAAAACTCATCTACTACCCCGTTAGATAGTTCTAAAAAAACCCAACAGTATCCAATCCATATAACCATTCAATATCATCATAAAAAATAAGCTCATTATTTAGCCAGTTAGTCAGATAAACCAATTTTATATTTTTCTTTTTACTCCCAACCATTCTTAAGTCCCATAAATAAAATTCTGACTCCTGTTTTCTTTTAGTGTCTTTTCCTCTTTTATTGAAATTTTTATCATCTTTCAAGTCCACTTCCAATTTCCATGAAGTAACTCCAATAAATTTCTTATATTTCAATTTGAAAGGAAAATCCACAATGTCCTTTTCAGTGTTTGAATGAACATCTAATTGCATTTGTAATGCAATGAATCCATCTCAATTGTTTCCAGAAGGATTTGTTCATTTTCAGTTGTTACTTCTGGTTCCAGTAAAAAAATTATCTTCACATTCCATAAATCAAACATTTTCTTTAAAGTAGCCATCTTGTGCTCTGGTAATTGACTTTCAAGGTTTTGTTTTATAACTGATATATAAACAAGACAGCTTTCCTACACAAGAGTTTTTTCAATTCACTCTTTCAAAAAAAAAAAGGTTTTTTCCATTTTAAATTAAAAAAAATATATTTTATTTTATTTTAATCTCTTTAGTGTAGTTTTTGTGAGGCAGGCAAAAATCAATAAAGTTGTCAGACATTTCTAAATATTATAGTCCCTGAAATAATGACAATCACCAAACACTCATATTTAAACAAAATCTCTCTTTAACTGAAGAATAAATTATAATCTAAAAATTGCATTAGAATGAGGAATGTCAGTTTTAGTATCCATAAATTTAGGCTGTGATATAGCTGTGAACTCACCTGAACTCACCTACCTGCTGCTGAATTCACTAACCAATCGGGGAAAAACTTCATTTCTACGACTTATTCATGAAGTGTGACAGTATGAAGGACATATGTTAATTTCAAGTTTCTTTCTTAAATCTAGAGGAAGAAAAAGCATCCTCCCTCAATAACTGGAGGTGAAAAAAGCTGTGACATTGTTTCCCTTTGGAGACAGTTAAGCTGCCATTTTCCCCACTGGAAACTGGAAATACCAATTTGATCTATTAAAAGATAACTTGAATTTATCTTCTAGAATCCAAGATTGGTCTATGGCCAAAGTTACTGTTTATATTATTGATGAAGTGATTGTATATATTTCTAACAGGTCCCAGTGATTGCTCTTGTGGCAACTGGAGGTGGTATCAGAGCGATGACATCATTGTATGCTCATCTCTCAGCCTTCCAGAAACTGAACCTTTTGGATTGCATTACATATATCACCAGTGCTTCTGGATCAACATGGTAAAAACTAAGAGAAATGTGTTACATTTAATTAGAATTCCAATTATACTGGGCCCAGTGCTGAGAACATTATGTCTGTGGAAATGAACTCAATTAGAAAAATACATCATTCAGCCTGCTTTACCATGATGAGTACTTTTGGGACTTCACTCTCTGTACTCCTTCATTAGAGGAGGACGATGAAAGTCAATGTTCTACTGAGCAGAAAGAATGGAAGGGATGCCTTGGTGGAGCAGAAATATCCCACACCCCAATTCTGAATGTAAAATGATTCAACAATATTATTGAAGGCTGGATTAAAAGTTGAGAATCAGGATGAATATTCATATCTTTCAGCCAGAAAAAAAAAGATGAAATTCACGTTGGGGTTAAAGATCACTATAAGTATAATTAGAATTGAATTGTCCATGTCCACTATATGTCAGCATTTAATAAAGGACAAGAATAAATTCTTCTTCTTCTTTCAAAATATGCGTCCAAAGGGTTAATTAAAACCACGTGGGTGGAATTCTTTGGGCAATTCAACTTGAAAAATAGATACCGACATCAGATTTAACACTTTATAAGAACAGGATATTTCTAAAATGCTTGTAAATATACTATGAATATAAACTAGTGGAGAATTTGTTTTTATTTTATTAAATATCATTTTTCCTACTACTGCAGGACACTGACAAATTTGTATCGTCATATTGACTGGTCCCATCAAAGTTTCAACGACCATATCAGAAATTTGAAAAGACAGTTGATCAAGAACAAAAAGAATACTATTTCTAGTGAAAGATTGAAGCAGTATCACAAGGAGCTAACTGAGCGGATCAAAGCTGGTCATCTTTCATCTTTTACAGCACTCTGGGCCCTTATTCAGGAAGCTTTTTTCCACAAGGGAGTATGTTAATTATTTATTATGCAGCAAAGATGTGATCCCTAGTTTCTCCTATTGAAGCAGGAATGTGACATCATGTAACATCATCTGTGCTGGTGAGTGTGGGTTGTCTCACACTTCCGAGCACTGATGATGTTATCTAGTTGAGTAATGAAACATCTGCAAACAAACAACCAGGCTCAGAGAATACCAAGGATTTCACAGTTTAACGCTAAGCTACATGTACTCTGTTCTATTGAATGATGCATATGTTAAAATATTTATTTTGTTTCACTTTATTTGAAGGCGAATCCTGGTAAGCTCTCAGAACAGCAACAGGCTTTGACTCAGGGGCAGAACCCCTTTCCTATTTATACAGCCATAAATGTCAAACATGATCATGTCAGCACTTTTGACTTTAGAGGTGGGTACTCACATATCAGTCTCTCCACTTTGGAAATGTAGGTTTTGGTTGCATGCTATAGGCATTGGAAGAGAGGAGAAAAAGGGAAGTGCATGAAATGTTGACCTTGAATTTAATAGAACAAGTACTTCCTATTTATCACAAATCTCTTAAAGTACTTCTACATGGATTGTATAGAAAAGGTTACATTATACTCAGTTCTACCCAACTTCATCAAGGCAGAAAGATCATGCAGAAAATCAAAGATAAAAATGTAGTACTATAATATTTAAGCTATTGATAGGTTAGAGATGCTTTGTTGTTGTTGTTGTTGTTAGTTGCAAAGTTGTGTCCGACCTATCGTGACCCCATGGACAATGTTCCTTCAGGTCTTCCTGTCCTCTACCATCTTCTGGAGTCCATTTAAGCTCATGCCTACTGCTTCAGTGACTCCATCCAGCCACTTTATTCTCTGTCATCCCCTTCTTCTATTGCCCTCATTCTTTCCCAGCATTAGGCTCTTCTCCAGTGAGTCCTTCCTTCTCATTAGGTGGCCAAAGTATTTGAGATTCAACTTCAGGATCTGGCCTGCTATAGAGCAGTCGGGGTTGATCTCTTCTAAGACTGACCGGTTGAACGCCTTGCAGTCCAAGGGACTTGCAGGAATCTTCTCCAGCACCATAGTTCAAAGGCCTCAATTCTTTGTTGCTCAGCCTTTCTTATGGTCCAATTTTCACAGCCATACATTGCAACTGGGAAAATCATGGCCTTCACTATACATATTTTTGTTGGCAGGGTGATGTCTCTGCTTTATAGTATGCTGTCTAGATTTGCCATAGCTTTCCTCCCCAGGAGCAAGCGTCTTTTAATTTCTTGGCTGCAGTCCCCAGGAAAATAAAATCTGTCACTACCTCCATTTCTTCCCCATCTATTTGCCAGGAATTGAGAGGGCTGGATGCCATGATCTTGGTTTTCTTAATGTTGAGTTTCAAGCCAACTTTTGTACTCTTCTTCTTCACCCGCATCAAGAGGCTCTTTAGTTCCTCTTCACTTTCTGCCATTAGAGTGGTATCATCTGCATATCTTAGGTTATTGATATGTCTCCCGGCAGTATTAATTCCAACTTTTGATTCATCCAGCCCTGCCTTTCTCATGATGTGCTCTGCATATAAGTTAAATAGGCAGGGCGACAGTATACAGCCTTGCCAGACTCCTTTCCCAATTTTGAACCAATCAATGGTTCCGTGTTCAGTTCTCACTGTTGCTTCTTGACCCGGATATAGGTTTCTCAAGAGACAAATAAGATGGTCTGGTACTCCCATCTCTTTAAAAACTTGCCACAACAATTTGCACTGATAAGAGTTGAAGCCCAAAACATCCAGCAGGGAACCAGTTTCCTGTCCTGATCTAAGTTATCTCTGCTTGCATTGTTATTTAGAATAATGAAAACTGTTATCCTCTACATCAATATTTTGAATGTTTGAAAGAACCTGCTTTTGTTTTTGCTGAGCAACTAGGCCTTTTTTAAAAAAAGCATCCATGTTTAACCTCCAAAAACTTAGTATGTTGAAAGCTACTGATTCAAATCTATATCTGAGTAAGAGGAAATGACATTATCTTTTATCGGCCAGGAATTACAGGTAGTTCCAGAAATTTTCTTTTAGAAACTTATGCATAAGATTTGAATAAGTATTTAAAGGGCTATAAATTATTCCCTTAAACAGCTTTTCATTGTTCTCTATTTTATAAACATAGTGATGCAAGTTGTTCTTTGAATAAAAACTTCTGGTTCATGCTTTGCACTTAGATTTGTGGTAGATGTCACAAAAGTTATCAGGGTAATTGGGACAAGATGGTTGTTTGTCTGATGCTATTTTTTTCTACAAGAAATCTCTCTGGAGGTCTTTCTTTCTTTCTTTCTTTCTTTCTTTCTTTCTTCTGATTTAATTAGATTAATTAGATAATCTTTATTGTCATTTTTTACTCTGGGCACATTAGCAGACATTAAAAATGAAATTTAGTTGCTTGCTCTCAAAGTGTACACATACTGTACATAACACACATTTAAACATGCTATATACAATATAAGGACCTGTTCAATCAGTCCTACCAAGAAAGTAGAACTCTTGAAATGGACATCATTTCAAAAGGAACTTTTACTGGGAGATGTTGACAGCAGGAATAGAAGGCAGGATCTGAGGGTTTCCCACGTGAATCAATTATAACCCCACACCAACTGTCCATCTGGATGGTTCAAACAGGCCAATCCACAAGTATGAAAATGCTGTGAGAATGGGGTGATAAGGTGCCGCTTCCAAGGCTGTTTGGTCTCTCTGCGCTGCGTCTTCTGTGCCCGGAGATAAGGCAGATGTCCGGAGGCACATTCCATTCTCACCCCAATGGAGAAACATCAAAGAGGAATAGAGCAAGGAATAGAGCAAAGGAAATACACATCAGCAACCCCAAGCTTCCGCCTTCCCCTCAGGAGAATGGCAGAACCTGAAAAGAACAAGAAACCCCATGGTCATAGAAAGACAGGATTCTGACATATAACATATTTATAAACCCATACCATTACATATAAATAACATCTAAATATTAATCACTGTCCATCTTGAATACATAATTAAAAAGGGAAACTTTAGAGTTTAGAGTATGGAACCAAACTATGACTGAATCTGAATGTTCTGCTTCAGATACCACCGAGCTTCCTCCCAGAAGGTAACAAGGAAAACAGGTTGTGAAGAGGATGTGTAGTGTCCCAGACAATCTTGTGGACCCTGCTCAAGCAATACTTATATGCTATGTCCAATTTCATCTTTGCATCAGTAGCCAACCAAGCTGTCTTTCACTCTTTTGTGTATCCCTTTGTTGCAGAATGGCTGGAGTTCAATCCTTATGAAGTGAGTTTCCTAAAATATGGTGCACAGATTCGCTCAGAGGATTTTGATAGCGAATTCTTCATGGGAAGGGTGGTGAAGGAGATCCCAGAGTCCCGGATTTGCTATCTGGAAGGTGATCTAATTATAAGCTAAAGGAAAATACAGCAGAACTTATCAGAGAAATCTTGGAAAGATCCTGTCTTCCTGGGCAGCCTTAGGTTTCTAGCCTTTTTACTCCAAAGTACTCAGAGCTCCATTGTGTCAATATTCCAGTGAATAAGTAATCTTCTCATGTTGTTTATAATAGCAAATATAATACTATATATAATATATATATATAACACTATATATATAGTGCATTGATGCATTGTGCAAATCTAAGATGATTGGATAAACATCTAGCAAAAAGGTGGTTGCTTTGGTTTTGATATTCCTGGCTTTTGACTCCTGTTAGGATTTCCTTTAGGTTCTCCAGCTGTGTTGTACTAGAGTCACCTATTTTTATTCTTGTCATAATGACTGAGTTGGTATAGTATAATAGATTAGATTAAAATGAGGCTGGGTGCTTTGTATTCAGTCTGATTAGGGGACCAAGCCATTGTCCTAGTATAATGTGCCATCATTTTAAACCAGTGGTTCTCAACCTTCCTAATGCTGCGACCCTTTAATATCTCATGTTGTGGTGACTCCCAACCTCCCATCCAGCTGGCCGGGGGGTATCAAAAACTTGACCAAAAAAAAGAGGAAAAAATGGGAAAGTATAGGTAGTCCTCGACTTACAACAATTCACTTAGTGACTGTTGGAAGTTACAACAGCACTGAAAAAGCGAATTGTGATCATTTTTCACACTTATGATTGTTGCAGCATTCCCAGGGTCATGTGATTTACATTCGGATGCTTGACAACTGATTCGTACTTATGATGTTCACAGTGTCCCAGGGTCACGTGATCAATGGCCAGGGGGCATGGCCAGCTGATCACTCAGGTTGCAGAGTGCCTGTGGGGAGGAATCTGTAGGTCTCTGGGATGGGACTGGAGTGGGTGCCTGCCTGCCTTCCTTCCCTCTGATTCGCGCTTCTGCTAAATTAGCAAGCGGCATGTTTTCTAGCATTGTTCCTTCCTTCCTTCCCTCTCTCATTGTCCCTTACTTCCCTCCCTCTTCGTCCCTTCCTTCCTCCCCCACTCTGTGCCCAGGAAGGGACAAGGGGAGGGGGATAGGCTGCCAGCGTGGCTGGGGGCTTTGCTGCCGGCAAACCTGCCAGTGCACAGGCAGAGACAGAGGAGAGCTTCGCCCAGCTCACTTGCTCAGCTTTGCCAGAAGACATGCCGCTTGCTAAGTTAGCAGAAGCTCCAGGATCAGCACCGGGCTACAGCTGATTCATGCTTCTGCTAAATTAGCAAGCGGCATGTTTTCTAGCAAAGCTCGAACAAGCAGCTACAGCTGATCTGCGCTTCTGGGCTGCTCTGCAGAAGCGCGGATCAGCTGTAGAGGCTCGCCCTGATCCTGGACAAGAGGGAAGGAAGGAAGGACGAAAGGGACAAGGGGAAAGAGAAGGGAAGGAGGGACAAAGAGGGAGGCAAAGGAAGGAAGGAAGGAAGGAAGGAAGGGACAATGGGAGAGGGAGGGAAGGAGGAAGAGACCAAGAGGGAGGTAAGGAAAGAAAGTTCCAGCCAGCAGAGGCTTGGCAGTCCGGCTGCTGAGAAACAACGCAAGCCAAGGAGAAGGTGGCGGTTTTCTCCCAAAGGGGGCTCCTTTTCTGCACCCCTTCCCTGGGTTTGTGGGGAATTTCTCATCACCAACGCTGACAGGTGCTCCTTCAAGCCCGCCGCGAGCTTTCTCGCCCCTTTGCTTCTCCCCCCCCCCGCTTTCGTGAGGATTGTGGCGCCCTTGGGAAGCCGACCGTGCTTTGAAGCTTAGCAGAGGAGAAGGAGTCCCTTCCTCCTTCCCTCCCTCTCTCCCTGTCAAGCCCCGGCGGGCTCAACATGAACGGGCAGAGGAGGAGTCGAGGACGGGCGGGGTGGCAAAGGAGACCGGCTGACAAGTGCAAGTTTGGGGGTTGCCAACTGATGGGCGCAGGAGTTGGGTGCTACAGCAGCCTTCCCTTCGCTGACCTGTGTGCAGGAGAAGAAGTCAATCTGGTTGCTGCACAATGAGTCTCTTGGGAGGGTGGGGTCTTGCTCTGCGCCTGCCCTTCATGTGCCCCCTGCAGGGCACATTTGGTAGAGTTCGTGCAGACGGCCGCCAAGCAGCATATTTTCCACAAACAAGTGAGGTGGAGCAGAGGGGAGGGAGGGAGAGAAGGCAGTTGACAAGCCCTGCCTAAGACCATCGGAAATATGTGTTTTCCGATGGTCTTAGGCGATCCCTGTGAAAGGCTCGTGCGACCCCAAAAAGGGTTGCGACCCACAGGTTGAGAACCGCTGTTTTAAACCATAATAGGCACTGTTTATTTGTTTGGCTATAGTACGTTAGCTAAACTCAATACTTGTGCTTTGTTAATGTGTTAACAGTGGATATGACATTATCACAATAATCTTATTAGCCATAATGGTTTTGTTAATACTGTGATGCTAAATTGTGTCTGCAGTATTTAATTAGCTGGCAGTAATAAATATTTATAACAGTTTCTCAGTCTAATGAGTCTATATCTTTTGATACAGTTGAGATGGACTATAATTTGAGTTAATGCAATGTCTTGTAGGTATCTGGACTAACATTTTCAGTCCAAATCTCCTGGATTGTTTGTACTGGACCGCAACACCAGATGAATTCTGGGAACGATGGGTGAAAGACATGGAAATAAAGCGTAAGAATTTCAATACTATTTTATTATTTGTTTTGGCGGAGTTTTTTTTTAAATTGGTTCATTTACAAAGTAAAATAAAGGAGAGAGATACTCTAGCCTCTTCTGTTTCTGGTCACATACTCAGTCAGATAGGAACTAATTGTGGGATCATTGCAGTTACTATAACCTATTATTCAAAAAATTATAGATAGTTAAGAAAATAGGGACTGTTCTGATTTATGAATATTTTGATGTTTAAGGAAAATAACATTTCTAGATTATGTATTGATATAGATCATTGCAACCTTTGCAATACACACATATAATAATAATGAAACAAATGTGAATATATAAAACCTTGGGATTCTGTCATATATTTCTTAAATATCTCCTCATTAGATACATGGAATTTCTCTGTGCCTGCTCATAACCAGGAGTGAAACTGTCGCCTCCTAGCCCCAAACTACAGCAACAATGACACATTTGGAGAAACTTGTACTTATATGCCTATTCTTTAGGGCTTGACGATGGAAGAGTGATGGTGTTGTGCTTGTAGAATTATAATAATGAGCTATTTGTTTAGTATTTCCTTGTGCACAACTTTGATGTATAGTCTACTTTCCTGTTCATATGTAGGTGATACATATGAAAAGATCCATCTGGAATCAGTGCTAGAGAAAAGGCTAATTAGCAGGCTGAGCCTGTGATAGGAGAAGAGCTCATTTTTAAGTGACTCAGATCTATGTCTGTTTTTGAAGGGCATATTCCTTTTTGATGCCACCATTTTCAATGGAATATGCTATATTAAAAAAAAAAGCCTCAGTAATCCAGAAGTGTTATATTTTGAAAACAAAAGGAAAAGTAGCCATAAATGAAGTATCTCTATATTTTGTTTCAGATGAGAATTATTCTTCAATTGATTATCCTGCCACGGTCTACAAACCTCCAAGTTATCCCGATGGAAAACTTTGTGAAATCTTCAATGACATTTTAACTAATCGACCTTTAAGTGGGGAGAATCATAACTTCCTGCAAAGCTTTGCTTTTGATAAAGATTATCTGCATCAGAAAGAATTCATGCAATGGAGTGGTAAGTGAGAATGATAATTTCTAGAAACACTCTAAATGTTCAGAATTGAATCAGTTTGGAAATATCTCCAGTCAGTTTCATAACTATGGAGTTACAAAGGAGATGGCTATATAGTCCTATGGTATCTATTCCTTAAAAGATGATCTTTGATCTAGATCAGGGGTGTCCAACTGCTGGCCCACGGGCCTGTTACATCATGCGGAGGCCGCGCCCACTCCAGCTCTGGCAATACAAAAAAAGTTGCGATACATTGTGACATGTCATGACACATCACTAGATGAGAATATATTTTCATGTATTATAGAAGTGGTATAGTAAGAAGGGTGTTTTGAGGGTATGTGACTTCCAATTATTCTTTCTGACCTTGTAGGGGACAGAAACAGCACCTTAGGGAAGACATATGATCTACAGGATTCTTGGATAACTTTCCCTTACATAAAAATTTTCTCTAGAGGAAAAGAAGTATCACGTATATATTTTTTCAGTCCTGGGAATATTTATTGAAACACACACAAGTTTATCTTGTTTCTTTGTCAGGAAATGACCATGTAAAAGGTTGAATTTGGCTTTTGTTTACCCCTGGAATGGTTTTTCCATTTTTCCATTCCCAATGGCCAATGAGACACAAAACAATTCTTGATCATTACACATTTGGAACAAATGGGAGTTGTTCCCATGTTTCATTTTCATAATAATCTATTTTCAGAGATTTCTTCATTAAGCCAAACAATGACATTACCTGTGTAGCCTCTTAAGAATGTGAAAAGTTTGCTGGATTGGACCAAAGCATTATTATTTTTTTTGCTGGTAGACTTTCTAGATGGCTATGGAAAGTCCACCAGCAGCCAAGAGGGCAATAACATTTGGTTACCTGTTTCTCAGTATTTCATAGTCATTCATCAGAAATATATTCTGATCCTGTTAGATTAAGCCACGATGATTACTAAGTAATGTCATATGTCAAGTTTTCCTACATGAATTTGTCTAATATTGTTAAAATGGTTATTGGCCTATTTTATTTACACATTGATGGCAATGTGATGAGGTGATAATTACAGCATTCAGAACATTAACTGGGGAGGAATAGGGTCACTACAAGATTTTACAATATTCAGAATGTTATAGTTTTAGGATCAATCTCTAATGCTTAATAATAAAAAGCTGTTCAGTAAACTATTAAAACCATGGGTAAGAAGCTGGCAGAATTCCTTTGTGGGTTGAATGTATCTGTCATTGTGTTCAGAATTCAGCTTTTAATATGCTACATGGATAAAGCAATATTTGCAGTGTCTTGGCAAAACTTGTTTTTGTTTGTGTGGGTATGTGAGGGTATTTCTGAGTGGCATGGTGGCCTAGTAGTGAAGACGCTTGCCTCCCACTTGAGAGTTGAGAGTTCAATCCTAGATAGCAGCAGATGTTCCTCTTCTAGGATGCAAAGAAAAAAAAATGTCTGCTGCGAACACCGCATGGTGTCAGGAAGGGCATCTGTCCAGTAAAAACTCAGATCCATCCAGTCAACTCGACTCTACCCTGAATTAAGGGATTATACGGTTGTAAAAAGAAAGGTTTTGTGGGAATATTTTCATTGGCTTTGGAATCAACATAAGATAGAGTGCCTAACTATTTTGTTAGATGGAATAATAGACTAATAGCCAATAGATTTTATGATTGAGTTATATACCAACTGTGATCTAGCTCAAAGCATAAGTTGTTTTTTTCTTCTTCTGAAGACAATGTTATGAACAAGCTAAATATGTATCTTTTGGATAAATGAGATTATGAACTCACCAATGCTCCAATAATATAGTTTAGATTATATTTTGCTTATTTAAACATAAGTACTTATGTTACTATTGCTATGCAATTCACTGTTTGCTCAATGAGAATTAAACTTATTGGACTCCTGGCCCATCTACTTCAGCAGTCATTTCTCATAATAGCCAACCTGCATGAAGAAGCTCCCTAATCTCCTAGCAGATGGCTTTTAGAGGCAATCACACTACCATTGAAGCTAATAGCCATTGGCCCACATGACTTACATGAATTGGTCAAACCTATTTTTGAAGCCAGCCAAGCTCGTAGTGAGCAGCACATTTTGTGATATAACATTTCAAAGTTAATTATGTATGGTATAAAAATATCGTTTTATCTGTCAAGATTCTTCCAAGATTCAATCTCATTAGTGACTTTTAGTTCTAGTATTTTGGGAAGGGGAAAAGAGCTTCTCTTAATAATTCTGAACACCTCAATCATGTCTCTTATCATTGTTTCCTTTCTCAGACTATGTGAGGCAGCACAGGTTTTGTTAGTGAAAGACTGCCTGGAGTTATCATTCATGTTGGTTGGAAAAAATGCTTATCAATTGTCTTTCAGATACCATATTTGACACTTCTTCTAACAAATTGACTCCAAACACAAGCACCCTCTGTTTAATAGATATAGGATATTTTATGAATGACAGTGGCATATCACTTCTCAAGCCAGAAAGGAATCTGGATATAATTATTTTTCTGGATTATGAGATGAGTGGAATCTTAAGGGTGAGAAAAAATATTTTCACTATTATTTTCCTTTTGAATGCTTGTGTACTTACAGGATGGAAAGGTGTTTTAGAGTTTCTTAGATCTATAATTATAGTTCAGCTATACCACAGACGCCAAGTTTATCAATATGGTGGATAAGTAGAACACAGATAGTATCAATTTAACCCAAGAAACAAAAAAGGATCATCTTTATTTTACTACAAAAAGGATATGATAGTTGCCTATATTTGAACATCATTTTTAGGTGCCAACACAGTTGATTGGGGGGGGGGGCAGAGTTCAAGCAACTGAGACAAATAAAATGCCTTAAGTTGAGATAGTCTGGAAAGAAAGAAAGAGAGAGCGAGAGCGAGAGTGAGAGCGAGAGAGAGGGAGAGAGAGAGAGAGAGAGAGAGAGAGAGAGAGAGAGGGCATGCTCCAAGTGAATCTCTTCAAACTGAAGAATAGCTTGTTAAATTCCATAGTGTTATATCTAATAGGAGCTCCATTTTGAATATAGAAAGTATGTAGTTAGTCTGGAGGAGAAGGAAAGACAATAGTGAGTGAAACAGGCTTCTCTAATACTGCTTTCTTGAAGCAATGTAGAATCTTTTTTTTGTGAAAGAAAGAAAGAAGAAATAGGTTGGGGAACCAATTGGGAGTTGTCTGGACTGTGGACTTTGAATTGTGGTTCAAACTTCAGCTGGACTGGAAATTTCATCTAGAATTTCCTTTCCTCCTTTTCCTTGTACAAAAGTAGTTGAGAAAACAGAATTGCATGTTCAAGGTACTGTATGTGAAGAGGCATTAGGATGGTGAAACAACAATATAAATGCAAGGTGGAGAACCACCTAGTAGATAACAACCCGAAGCAAGTGTGGCAGGAACTGCAGCATTTAACCAACCATAAGGGCAATATGAGGAACACGGTGAATACTGATGCCTCGCTGGCAGAGTAGCTGAACATCTTCGCTCGTTATGAGGCGAATGAACCAGACCGTGTAACCCCTGCTGGCCGGCCTTCTGATTCTCAGCCACTCACCTTGTACGAACACCAGGTGAGAGCTGTATTGAAGGCTGTGAATCCCAGCAAAGCTGCAGGCCCAGATGGGGTACTGGGGACTGTGGTAAAGAATTGTGCTGATCAATTAGCAGGGGTCCTGATAAGGATCTTTAACATCTCCTTGCAAATAGCCTGTGTACTATCATGCTTGAAAGCAGCTACCATTGTCCCAGTTCCGAAGAAAACAGCAATCAGTTGCCTAAATGACTACAGCCCATTGCATTAACGTCTGTAGTGATGAAATGCTTTGAAAGATTGGTTCTCCAACATCTTAGGACATGCCTCCCACTGGAGTTTGATAAACATCAGTTTGCCTACAGGGGAAATAGGTTGACAGACGATGCCATAGCTACTGCTTTACATTTGGTAGCAAGCCATCTGGAGAAATCTGGAAGCTATGTCAGGATGCTTTTCATTGATTATAGCTCGGCTTTCAATACTATTCTGCTGAGTATCCTTATTGAAAAGCTGACTGACCTGAATTTTTCCCCCTCCATCTGTGATTGGATTAAAGACTTTCTGAGGGACCGGCTACAAATAGTGAGGGTTGGGTCTGTTTTATCCACCTCCCTGAAGCTTTGCATTGGTTCGCCACAGGGCTGCATGCTTAGCCCCTACCTGTACTCATTGTACACATATGATTGTGTATCACCCGACCCGTCCACTGTGATCAAGTTCGCAGATGATACCACTATGGTGGGTCTTATTGCAGGCGGAGATGAGACAGCGTACAGGGGGGAGGTACAAAAAGGTTTTCTATCCTCATAGAAAACAACATGCACCTGAACATCGGCAAGACAAAGGAGATGGTGTTAGACTTCCAGAGGAAAAGAGAGGAACCTGCCCCACTTTACATCGAAGGGGACTGTGTGGAGAGAGTTTCCTCCTTCAAATTCCTGGGAGTCTACCTCTGTGAAGATCTTACCTGGAAAATTAACACAGCCCAGGTGGCCAGAAAGGCCCAACAGAGACTCTACTTCCTCAGGGTCTTGCGGAAGAACAGGGTAGAATGACAACTCATGATCTTCTTCTACCGGTCTACTATTGAAAGCGTTCTCACATACTGTATTGTGGTTTGGTATGCTGGCTTGACAGCCACGGACAGGAAGGCATTACAGAGGGTGGTGAGCACAGCACAAAACATCGTGGGCTGTTCCCTGACACCACTGGATGACATCGCCAGGGCCCGTTGCCTTGGTAGAGTGAGGAAAATTCTCAGGGATGACTCACACCCTGGTTGGTACCTCTTTACTCTCCTACCATCGGGTAGGAGATATAGAAACATAGCCAGCCGTATCAAGAGACTGAAGAACAGCTTTTATCCATGGGCTGCCAGGCTCTTGAATGGGACATAATTTTATGCATGACAGACTCATGAGGCTGGCGTGCTGTGCAATTAGCTCACAGGGTGTAATAAGTTGGGGGTTTGTAGTCACTGTGAGTTGTGGTGGGGGGGCATGGAGGGAGGCTCAGCCAATCTCACTGTATACATGTTATACTTTGATAATAAAGGTTCATTCGTTCATTCATTCACTGAATCTCCTGCTCATCATAGACAATTACAGATTATTTGGTAGGGGAGGTTCTGATTTACATATGGAAAGCAAAATGAATATATTTGGGAAGATTTTTCTTTTTTGGTCTCTTCTTCAGCAAATAAAGGTGACCGCCGAATACTGTGAAATCCAAGGCATTCCATTTCCAAAGATTCATCTGAGTGAGAAAGAGCGAAAGGATTTGAAGGAGTGCTACATTTTCTCAGATGAAGATAACCCCAATGCACCAATAGTGCTTTGTTTTCCACTAGTCTGTTGCACCTTCAAAGAATACTCAGCACCAGGTAAATTCAGCTGATGCACTTGTTACACAATTTTCTGATTTAAGCATTTGCAGTTTCTTCAGTGATTTCTTTAATTCACACATGTTGACCGAAATCCTTTCTGCAGTAGCATTTCCCAAGTATAACTACACTTTGCATTCAATTTGTGATGATTAATTATGTATGCACACACAGACATTGTTCTGTTTTCTGAATATTAATCAGCTTAAGCAGTGTTTTTCACACTTGGCAAATTTAAGATGTGTGGAATTCAATTCCCAGAATTCCCCAGCCAGCACGTTCACACGTCTTAAGTCCACACAACTTAAGAAACACTTAGAAGAAGACACTATTGAATTATTCTATTTAAAAATAGCTTAGGTAGTTCCAGGCTTTAAATCTGTACCTGAAATATGTTCAGCAACCCAAACTGGTATTGGTCCTCGAGAGACAGCAAAGGGGGGAACTGACAAAATATGCATCATAACACAGTAAATTATTTCCTTGCATCACATTAGGATGTAAGTTTGTAAGGGTGAAATTTGTGTGATGATATTACCTCATGCATTGTGATTTTAATGTGGTTTTGGTTCATTGTGGATGCCTATGTCTAGATATCCTAGTACTTTTTTTCCATATTTAAGCAGAGAGGTCATCAAGAACAAATAGTGGAGCTGACCAATGGTGGAGGAAAAAATCTTTTTTCTCTCTGTTGCAGTCTCTGTCCCTGCTGTAGGACAATAGGCTGTATGCAGAGAATAACAGTAGAATAATAATTCCTTGTGGCTGTGAGTGAGTTCATCGGGGCTGAAGTCAAGGGTGGAATCTATTATTTGACTGTTGCAGAACACTGAAGTTCCCTGGAATTTAGTGCAACTGGAGGTTTCCCTAAGCATAGATGAGCGCCATTTAAGGCGTTGGAAGGTTGCCTTTGATATTCTGGAGGTCATCCAGGGATGCCTAGAAAGGGTAGGGCTGAAATTTTGAAGACTGCTTTTTGTTGGGCTATGGATAGGGGTCTGGAGATCTCTCAAAAATAAACCAATTCTATTCTCACCAAAATTTGGCTCTTTTTCACTGAATTCTACAGATCACTGGGTGCTATAGGGATGCTTGAAAACTACATACAGCCCCTGAATTGTTCATTTCTGGCCAGTAAGACTCTGCTTTTTCCCTTATTTTACCAAACAGCTGAACAATAAAAAAAATCTTCCTAAAACATCATGAGCAGTTAATGTGAACATAGGAATGTAGCAGAGTGAGGAGGGTGGACGCATACAACTGTCCATAATGGACCTCATGTAAAATTCTACTTTCCTCTTGAGATCCAATGGGAATATATGGAAAGAATGTTGGACAAAGATTCTCATTGCTCCAATCTGTTAACTGGAGACAAGCAGACAGGGACTCTTCAGAATAAGGCATTCATACTTTTGAGTTATATACTACAACTGTGAAAAAATATGGGGGGGGGGGTTTAACAGTAGGGCTTCCAACCACAAGATCAGAGGCAAATAGCTTTATATTGCTTTAAAAGTCTGCCTTAAAAATAAAAAAGTTACTTGGCTCAGTGAGATGGTCTAAGTATCACTCCCAAGATTACTCTTAAAACAGCATAGTATAGATTCCCTACAAATATTTTCATATTCTATGCAAAAGCTTCAAATCATAAGAGTAGTTCTGGAAAGTTTCAACCTTCTCTCCCACCCACCTACCCCTTGGCATTTCAAAATGTGCAGTTTTATTTCTCTGGAAAGTGTTCAGACTGAACCAGATTTGCAAGTTCAGGAGAAAAGGACATGTTACCTAACCATTCCTTAAGCTGTTTTAGGATTTCACAGTTTCAGGTCATGATGCAAGAAATATTGGCATAGCTGTAATAATACTTAATTTCAGCTACATTCTGAAGTAGCTTTTCAATTTGCTTTTTTTTTAAAAAGGATCTCCTATTATATTGCCACCAAGATCTAAATTTGGAAAGCATTTCTCAGCCCTGCAAAGTATTTGTGGCTGTTAAAAACTATCCTTTAAATACTTGAAAGGCTACCGATGGTAATTATCAATTGAAGATATTTCTTTCACAGGCACTAATAGCTAAAAAAAGAATTTCTTCCATGCTCTGCAAAGTCTGTTAATTTCACCAGCAAGATGGTGCACATCAGTCAGGGCAAGGTTGGAAGCAATATTTTATATTCTGGGTTATGACAGATTTTTAAAAAATGTTTACAGAAAAAACTGCTCCTTTTTTCTCTTGATTGGAAAAAGGGGGTTCCCAGAGAAACATGATTGTTGGGATTTCTACCTGGAGTTTTATTGACATATTGCAGTAACATTCCAGAACTGAAGTGCTTTCTCTATAGTACATAATTTTAACTAAACTTAACTGTTCAGCAAAATGAAGAATGCCTATCAATGTGCCATTGCTATATCAGTTCCAGAAAACGAGGGCACAAAATAGATAAGTTGATATAAGACCAATTTATTTTGCTTCCAAATACCAAATATTTTAAATCTTTACCTACAGTGCATTGTTTTGCTTCAAATAAGGTGTGCTCACTCACTTTTTTTAACTTTTCAGGGGTTAAACGCACTCCTTCAGAAATGAAAGAAGGCAAAGTCAATCTGGAAAAAGGCACCTCACCCTATCAAACTCTTGAAATAACCTACACTGAAGAACTCCTTGACAAACTAATAAATTTATGCAGTTACAATGTTCTTAATAGCAAAGACTTCATCTTCCAAGCCATTCAAAACGCTATACAGAAAAAGCGACACAGTGGACCCAGAAATGCTAAACAATGATAATGTGTCTCCTTAAAGAGAAGAAATCCAGTGTGTAACATGATGCATTGTTTGAGGTAATGTTAATTGGTTGTCATTATGCTGCAATTGATTGGATGCTTGGGTAATTCTTACTCCTGATTGATATAGCAAGTGGATTTAAACTAAATATACTGCTGTAGGCTTTCACAGCTGGTATTTGTTGGACTTCAGGGTTTTGTGACCATGGTCTATAGAACAGAAGTTCTGATGTTAAACAGCAGCTGTGTTTTCAGAGGCAAAGTGGCCAGCTGAGCAGATACTGATAGGGATCATGACCAATTGACCTTTAGCAGAGCAGGTTTCCAATTGGTGCAGGCTGGTGACAGCTAAGGGAGGTTGAGGGATCACTTTGCCTCTGAAGATGCCAGCCATAGTTGTTGGCGAAACATCAGGAAATCTGTTCTCTAGACTATGGTCACTAAACCCTGAAAGCCCAATGGCTTGTAAACTCCTTATTTATTTACATTTTGAAATAGCCATCTTGCCTCAGGTAAACTCTAGTTTGTGTGCCTGTGTAATCAAGCTATAATTTGATCAGTGTTCTTTCTCTTAGACCTAGTACTTATAATTCTATTATTCTATTTCTTTGCTTTTTTAATAAAGGTGAGATCAATAAAAGATATACATTCAAGTATTACCTATTAGCATTATCCAACATTTACTATTAGAGGTGATTTAGGAGATGGTGATGACTGAAACTGATGACATGCTGTTTTCTGAAGTAATTGAACCACAGTTATGTTTCTTTATAACATTATAAAAGAACTTATCCTCTACCACTGTATTGGACATGATTAGATGTGGTTGGATTTTAACATTTGCAGAAAAGCATGAACTGACTTCACTTTGTTCAATACCAGCTGTAAGTCGTTGCAGTATATAAAAAAGGGTAAATATTTACTTTGTAAAATGAGAGTTATTCTTTGCTATTTTAAGATGATTGACACATTTCACATATACAGTAAATGATAGCAGTTCAACATGAAAATTATTTTATTATTTAAATGGAATTGTTGGGGGTATTGCTTTATGCATTTTCCCTGTCTTAATGTCTAATAATTCATTAATAGTTCAGTTTCAATCCATACCCTATTCTTGAAATAATTTTTAGTCTAGGTCTGTAACTTCACATAACACAAGGAATATATGTCCTCAGTGCAAACTGATATGAATATTCTTTTTGCTGTTTGCAACAAAATTAAGTTTGGGGGAAAATACAGTCTCAGCAACTCCTATTTTCTTTTTTAGTGTACTTGTAATTGGCTTTCTTGTCATGCTGGAGAGGTATTGTAATTATCTGTCTGAGTGCAGAAATGAGACCTAGATTTAGTTCCAGGAATTAGAATTGTGTCCACTTGATACTTTAAGACCAGATACACATCAAGCATGGAAAATTAGATTGGATTTATAAACCATGTAACATTGGCATGCTCAGGACAGAGGGAATATTAGAATTTCTGTTGTCACATTGTGACGTGAAAGAGGGAAACTTGCTCATGATGGCACAATGCAAATTTCATCATTATGGCATCTTTTCATTTAGCAATATAGAGATCTACCGGTATGTCATACAATTTGTTTGATTTTGGGTTAGCATAACAGGAACCTAGCCAAATATTTTTTAAAAAAATCATACAGCAATTAAATAAATCAACCATACATTATTGTGAATTTATGTAAACAGTAGGTGGCTCTTCAACTGTTTTCAGACAGTTGTTTTATCCAATGGCATATTTGTTTAAATAGGAAGTGGAAAGCGGTACGGCCTCATAGAAGAGAAATTGATCACAATAGCACAATGTCACTCTTACTAATCTGTTGTATTTTGAAAAGCAAAATCAAGTTATTATCCTAACATTATGTTTGTGATGGATCATAATACAATGTAACAGACCAGTTGTTGGCAAAAGTATTGTATCTATTGTTTTGTTTTATTATACCATTTGACAAACTAAAGCAGGTACTGTCCAGCATCTATCTGGAAATAAGTTCAGTAAACTTCATACGACTTATTTCTGAATTAAAACTCAAAAATTAAAACATGAAAGGCAATGTAAGGATTAACGATTGGTATTAATTTGTTTGAAATTCTAAAACCACATTGGTGTAACTTAACAGATACTGAATCAAATTCTAATTATATGCTTTCAAACATGAGCCTATAGCTTAGTTTATTATCTTAATTTATTGAAAGTATCTGTGCTTTGAGACATTTATTTAATATATTTCTGTACGGTTTTCTATATAATTGCTTCTTGAAGATATTAATTCTTTTAATATCTAATGACAGTGCTGAAATCTCAAATGTTATCTCACATTGGAATAATGATAAATGAAGGACAATCTTTTTATCATGAAGATCTGATTAAAACTCAACTATGGAAGCTTAATTCTTGGTAACTATTGCCCAACAGCTATTGGTTTGCTATTTTCTGTGATTTAATTCATTGAACCCTCTCCCATGACACCTGCTGATAACCTTTTTTTGAAAAAGATATACTCATTTATCCATTGTAGAATGAAAAACATAGTCTTTTGAGATTAATCTGAGAAAATTCTACTATTCTTCAAAAA